ATTTTATTAAAACAAATATACAATGTAAAATTTAAAAAAAAAAAGCACAAATAGGAAAATTTATAAAATGAAATATATTGATTGTTGTTTTCATATTAAGGACAGATGATACAAGCCAAAAAAAATGGATCCATGGATTGGTATATTTTTGGACCTATTTTGACTGTAAATGATGCAAATAAAAAAATTCTAAAATACTAAAAATTTGTAAACTTTCTATGATGTTCAAAATTCTACCTTTCTGCACCCCTCCTTATTAATGTATACAATTTTTTGTCACTTAAAATCACATTACTTTTAAATTTTGAATTAAAAATTAAAATCAATGCGGTTAAACTTATTCATTTTATTTATATAAACATGATTAAAGTGGTTATTTTCAAAATTTATGATAAAAGTTTGTTTGCATCAACTGTCCTTAATTAAATAGAAATAGTACATTTATAGTTTTTTTTAATTCAAAAATCATTTATAAAATGGAATACTATTTTAAAAATCATGGAACTCTAAAAATGCTGTATTGTAATGTTGATTCAACTTAGAATAAAAACAAAAGATTGAATCAAAATTACACAAAAGACTAAAATAATAAAATTCAAAACAAAATAAATTTTATGTTATCTATGATAAATAAATAAGTAAATAAATGAATAAATAAAAGAGCAAAAGTAATAATTATCATGTCATAATTAATAAATTGATTATTATGCAATACTTATTCTGATGAAGTAAACAGAGTTATCTCTCCTATTCTTCATTATTAGACGTGAGTATTACATGTACCTTGTTTAGAAAGACTCCATGTACAGAAGTTTTTGAGTGTCATGCGTATTTTTTTTTTTTTATCAAGGGTACTAGTCCCAGCTATGTCGTGTTGTTGATTTTGAACTCAAATTTTCATTTCTTTGTATAATTTTTTTTTACACTATATATATATATATATATATATATATATATATATATATATATATATATATATATATATATATTCAAATGATGTCTTGCATAGTATTTTTAATTGTTTTCAACTTACACAATTATCATCATTGTACATTTATATAAGCATTGAAATATTGAGTTTTCGTAGAACCTTGGCGTTCGGTGCTACTCATAAACTTTGAAAGTAAGAAAGAAATAATTTCAATTATTGATATTTTCCCTGTCAAAGTCTTGCATAGTCTGCAAAAATGAGCCAGGATTTGGGTCAACGGCAGTTCTACAAAGTAAATACAAATTTGAGGTGCATGTTTTCCGATAATGATTATTCATTATAATGAGCTATCGTAAGGATCCTCGGGCAACCATTGGATGACACATTACCTTTTTTAGCATTTGAAGGAATGATTTATCATTTCATCGATACTGAAATAAATATATCATTTAAAAAAAAAAATTACGAGGCTAACGAGGACAATTCAATTTTTAATAAATTTCATTATTTTCATGAATTTCCGTCAAAATTTCTATTTCAAAGATTTAAGGTCAAGATCTAGTAAATGACTTTAGACTGTCTTTTTGGTGCTAGATCCATTATGACGTCATAATTGTTTTAAGCTTAATTTTTCCTGTACTTTATTGCTGTAAAAGAATTGTGTAGCAAATGAAGGATTTTCAATGTATTCAATTTGAAATCATGTCAAAAGTAACCCCGATATCTATATTCAATATAATATCATTTTAAAATAGAGGTTAAGAAGAAATGAAAAACCGTTTTCTGAGAAACTGTAGGCAATATTGATGCATTTCTTCTATCTGAGATGGAAAAAACTCCTAAATTTATACCTGACTTTCTTCGTTTTTCATTAAAAATTACTGTTTAAAATATGTTTTTTCGTCTAGTTTATCAAAAAATTATGTCCCGAAACACCCTATTTTTGCAAGCCATATTTGTAAAGGATCATTAAAAGAACTCGTTTCTCAAATTTGAAAAATTTGTAGGCATCTTTCATTTACTAGATCTTGACCTTAAGTGTTGGCTCTATAATATTATCTGTAAATGACATGTGGAATTAAATACAAAGGGTTAATTTGATATGGTTTTGAAAGGGGCTTTTCCTATTAAAATACACTTTGGTAAATTATTTCATTACCAGTTTAAAATAAGTAAGCTTAAACAATGCATAATTTGAGGTATTACAATACTTTGTTCAGAAAATGATAATAAATGGTTCTATGAATTCCTATTGTTCTCATTTTTGCAACGTACATTCCAGACTGGAATCCCTTTAACCAAGTAATTCTGAAAGTGAAGTAATCCCAATACAAGTTTGGCAGCTGTGTCTTAATATCTGTATTGTCAGCAGTCAAGAACCAGCAGTCGAGGAATTGTTTGGTCTTATCTAACTATTGAGCTAGCAGTCTTCTAAACAACTCTTCGAGGAAACTGCCATGTAGGCCGAGGTTTGCTTTGCTCTTAAAAGATTTGAAAAAATGAGCCGGCAGAAGTATTTGACCACAACTCTAGAACAATGAAATCTTACAGTTTAAAAACTTGAAGATGAAATTTTAAGCAAGGAATTCTATTTCTGGAAAATAATTTCCTTTATGAAAGTACACTGAGCAGGAAGTAATATTGCAATAACTGTTAGATGTATTAGAAGTCCAAGGACCTACTGATTGACTCGCTATCAAGGGATGTTATACAACTGTTTAAGGCTAGGTTTTATTATAAAGTAAAAAGAGGCTTGCAATTCTTGTGACCTCATTGACTTAAATCAATTTTTGTTTTCTTTTGTTTCGTTTTTGTTTTTTACTTTTTCAATCTATTTTCAAACATTGTACATATTTCAACTCTAAAAAAATAACCATCCAAACAAAACAGACAATTTGCTATAACAACTCAAACAGTGCTTGATTGTTATTTGCTAAGTTTTAATTTTGCATGGTTAATTCCGGACAATTAACTTACATTAACACAAGATACAATAATGTAAAAATGCAGAATTCAGAAAAAATGTGAATAAAAATCGATATGTAAAGATATATAAACATTCCGAAAATCCTGCGGATTTTTGTCTTAATGAGTAACAGAACATTAACTTTTGTACCGTAAATTAATGTTTATGTCACATTATTAATTACTTGAAGCAAATAGATTCATTTTTGTTGGTACAAGTGATGATACTGAAAATGATGATGAAAATAACAGACAGCATTGAATTGGCAATTTAGTAAGTTTGGATTAAACAAAAATATACGATGGGAAAAAATATCCATTTTAAAAAAAATCAAACATATCCATTTTAAAAAAAATCAAATATATCAATTATACGGTTAATTTTCTGAGATTTGAGAACAAAAAGTATTCAAATGTGTAAAAGTTCCTTTTTTTCTAAAGCAGCAGAATATTTTATTGGCAGCAGAATATTTTAAAGAAGATAAAATAAAAGCAGACTTGAAAATCTGCAAGCAGCAGGATACCAGGGTATTTTTAAGGTACTTTACGAGTTTCTTTTGCATTTATCGAACATACTTTACAAGTTTTTTTGCATTTATAAAACATACTTTACGAGTTTCTTTTGCATTTATCAAACATACTTCACAGTTAATCTATTTTCAATGACATTTCATTGAATCATTCTTAGTGAGAGTGTTCGATAAAAAACAAAATTATTCCATTACGATTCTCTTCAGTTTAAATGGATCATGCATTCCAATGATTAAGTGTAATGGGTTTGACAATTTTCATTAAAAGTTAATAATATTTCGTAGAGTAACGCTAAACATAGTCCTATGGGAGCATTTGGTATAAATAAATGAAAAAGTCTTCGAGATATTATGACGTATGTTTATTCATAAAACATTAAACATAAACCTAATCAAAAGAAATAAAGGATGAGAGAAAATTAAAATAATTTTAAAGTTTACGCACCTTTCTTTGAATCACGTCATAAAATGCATGAAGATCAATTTAATTTAAGAGATGGTATATGTACATTAAAAATTCATGTGTACCCTTGCATCATGTCTCCAACTTTGCTTTAAAAGTAATTTGGCCACTGAACCGAGAAAAGGATATATTGACGCAATGGAAATACCAACATCTTTCGCTAATTATCCCGATTACTCAGTTCAGATATATCATCTCCGTATTTAACTCAATATTTCTTTGTGTATGCATTTTACTTTTCCACAAACATGCAACCAACACCATAGTTAGAAGTCTGAATTGAAGTCTAATGTGCTAATCTCCATTTAATTAATTAATTGTAAAGTGCTGATTGCATGCACGATGTAACAAATTATTTAATTCTAGTATTATTGTGTTTAAACATTTAAAGAAATGAATTTATGATATAAAACAAAAAAATATGAACACTTTATCCTCGATATGAAAATTTTGATAACGATTGGTTAAATTAAGATGCTGGAGGTTTATTGTTTGAATGAGGCGTCATGATTGTTGAGACTTTGTAGAGATTCAAACTTCGGATTTCTATACATGTAAACTTTAGATTGTACTGGAAATAAAACAGACCAGAAATGATAATGATGTGTAAGAAGAACATCTAAGTGAGATAAAATTCACTTACATAATTGGAAGGGGAGAAATTTCAGTGAACTAGACTACAATGAAAGGTAAGAGTTATTTTTGGATTTCTATAATTGTGATGATTTCTAGGTAATTATTATATAAACTTGCTAATGGAAGAAGAACTGAAGATAAAAATATGTATAAATCAAATGCACGGAAGAGAGTGAACTAAAAGAGATTTGATGGTATACCATTTTCCTTTTTATCTTGCATCCAACCATCAATAAAATCACTCTAATTGTGAATATTTATTGCACTGATCTCACAATATCAGTAGAAAAAGCCGAAAGAGAACAAAGGATACAGGGAGCCATCAAAGAGAATAATTAATACATGGTCTTTCAACACAGAAAACAAACGAAACCAGAGTAATCCTTTTTGATATGTGTATAGATTCCTCAGATATATAGAAAATGTCTAGAAAACCGACAAATAAAGTGAAACACACTTGAATGGAACCCCTTACCCTTCCGGGAGAGCATATTCTCCAAGAGCGGTTAATAATTCGAATCCTTCTGTGTCTTCTTCATCATCATTGCTACCATGTGTTTGTTGTGTTCCCTCTGGACTTTGCGCATGCGCATTATTTTGGTCCTTGTGGTGCCCGCCATGATGATTAAGGTGGTGGTTGTGGTGGTGATGGTGATGTTTGCGGGTCTTTGCTCCACTTTTGTTTCCTTTACTTCCTTTGGATGCCTTGGAGCCTTTCGATCCTCCCGATTTTGATTTGCCACCCATAAAACCACCAAATGAATGCTATAACTGTCATTCCATCAATTTTCTATAAATGTCAATAATATCGGGTTCACTACTTTAAAGAGTCGATCATGTCTAGGTTGTATTTTTGCAGGACAAAGCAAGATTCATCGACTTTTTAAGAGACGATTCCATTGGAACACTCAGTGAGTATAGTTCCATATAAAATGCAGTCAGCAATGAGAATGTAGTCAATACACCAAATAAAGACAACAAGTTTCTTGAGGACGGTATAAAGTGGTTAAATATTTATAGCTGAATTCTCCTGAAGTCTTTATTTGATGAATGTTTTCAATTACATATCCAAACTCGGGGCAACACTATCCATAGGTGACCAAATGGGATCTCACACACGCAAAGCCAATATTAGCCGGACATCAAAAGTCACAAATGGTGTTCGTTTATTGCCTAATTTAATTTATACATTTTCATAAATTGTACATAGCCGATATATATGCATAATACGCCACAAACAGACACCCCTTAGGAGGTTAAACATCGAAGACTCCCAAAGACTTTATATCCTTTCTCTTCTTTATATCCTCTGTTGTCTAGTCCCGGACAAAGGGTCTTCCGCTAACAACATCCAGACTAGCGAAACATTTCATAAAACACAAATTTATCTTCAAAAACTGTGGCACGAAAACCTCTTTGGAACAAGTAAATGAAATTATTAAAACCCTTGTGAATTGGTTGAGCATTGAGGCATTTTCATTTGGCAGATGATAAAAAGTCATACTCCATGGCAAGTTAATATTATTTAGATATTTACTTATATAAACGCTAACGAAAGAAAGAAAATATCGACAGATTCTGACTGTTTGTCCAAGTTAATGATAACCATTGTTGATTTATACAAGTCGAATGAATGAAAATAAACACTCTTGATGAGACTAGGTATACACTGCGCTCGTTAATGGCTGCCTAGTTAAAATACACGCATTGTTAATGATAGGTAAAAACCTATACCCTGGCATCATTGGAATAATGCTCCGATAAAGGACTAGGGCGAAATTCGATAATTGGGCACGAAGGCAAAATATTGATAGATTTAGACTGAAGTCAGGTTTTTTGTTCAAATATTGATTGGTCCATTGCATGAACGTTAAGACAAATATTAGGCAATTAACTCGTATTTTATTGAACTTAGAATACTGAACAACACTGATATTCTTCAATTTGTTATAATTTATCGAGAAATTCTTTCATTGACCTAAATATGTTATCTGTTTTCCCCAAAGTGTACATTTATAATTGAAACTATTTATTTAACAATCAACATACTCTTACTAAAAAATTACATCATCATCCTTATCAGAAAAATAAAAATACATCATGATGAAAAAAAATCCATAAGTTTATGGGAAAATGTGCATCCATACTGTCCTCATCAAAAAAAATACGTTACTCCTTGGAGGTTATATTTTCTAACATCACAGTTTATCTTCATCAAATGTTGAGTTTAGGTCTAGACATTATGACTTATCACGCACGTTTCTTGTGCTTTCTGATATAATTTCATACCATTACACATAAGGTCTTTTTGCATGCAACTTTTTCATTCATAATTATACTCAAATAAAGCCTGCTATGATTTGCTTTAGGAATATATACATTTTTCCATCAAGATAATTTTAAACTTTGACAAGTTTACTTCCTTTTGTGAAAATTTAATCATTATTATTTCATTTATCTAAATTATATTGTTTTGACTTATACTTCATTAAATTTGATTACAATGATTTAATTTCATAGCAATTAATTCTTAAAACTTTGATGAAATATCATTTTCGAAAGCTGCAACTGTACTTACAACTCACATTTAGTTTAATTTTAACTTACAGGTTTATGATTTTTCACAGAAATACTACTGTTTTGCGAAAAATAGAAGATTTCTTTGCTATGACGGGTCACATTTTGTATTTGTAAAATCTGTAATAACATATAATCATATAATATATATTATGAAGTTCAATAATTAAAACACACCTCTCTTTTATGTGTAATAGTTTTGCGAAAACACATGTTCTGTTATTTCATTTAAGGTGTTGGATATTACATATATAATAAAAACAATTTCACATTTATATCTGTTATTTATGAAATCTTTTTTCTTAAAAGGAGCTTCATAAATGCAATTAAAATTGGTTGCTGAATTCGCTGCTGTTTACCTAAAAAGGTACCACTTTAAGGTAATCATATAAAGAAGCTGCTATTCATGAAATAGATTGATTTCTGTAAATTAATCTACTTAACAAATCAATAATTAATCAATATTAAAGTGGCTGAAATGCTGGAATATTTCCAGATAGAATGATTGACCCATTCTAACCTAACTTTTAGAATTTAAGGAGTGGTAGAACTAAAATATAACGATATGGAAATAATTAATGAATAACAATATTTCTTTTGAAATTTTTACAATAATTCATGATTGAAGAAGATATTGAAAATTAATTTTATCTTATCAATCACGAGACACGCAATAAAAATTCACATTGATAGTAAGTCTTTAGTTTTGCAAAATATATAAAACATTTATACTTTATCTATTGTTTTTAATAAAGAATCATTACATCCACTGTAACTTTGCATTATATTTTACATTGGTTTATATTTTAACCAACATTTACAGGACTTTTAAGAATTTTCAATATTCTATGCAGATATTAAAGCTTAATATACCAACATTCATCAGACTCATTTTCATTAGAAACCTATTGAACCATTGCCAACGTTGCTCTCCATGGAAATCGCAACGTTGTCATATTTCAAAGGTAAACATATTAAAAAGTCCTTTTAATACTATCATGAGACATGATTAATGCACAGAAATCAATGAACAGGTATGTTATTTGGTCTTCCAATTTTTGATGCATGTAAACTTACCAATACATAGAGGGAAATCGTTATAAGCTCCAGTTTTATAAATTGTCATTAATAGTGGTATAACGGCATAACATCAACTCCAGCTGTAGCTGTACATAGCCCTGTTCCCACTCGATATATTTATCAAGCTATATTTCACATTCTTGGTATCAAACGCATTATTAGTGATGTGACAAAGCGCTACACTATACGTCATTAAAAAGTGCTTGTCCAGGTAGCAAACTGTAGCATATATCTATATTGATCTTCATGGATAACGCGCCGATTTCCTAGACTTTCCCTACTACCCAATTTTACAAGGAGAATCTCCGTATAAAATACACAGCATAAATCTTATATTGGAAGATCAATAATTGGCTCAATTCCGAAGTGACCAGAATGTATATTTCGCTATCACGATTACATCATGTGAGAAATTCATGGAGTGACAACTTCATTTTTCTTTCAGTTATTGACGAGATTATATTTTAATTGGTTAAACATTACCAAAGCAAATTGCGTGGAGATCGATGAATAACAGAACATAGATTATTGAGGATGAAGAGACTGAAAATGGCACACATTTCATCGACTTGATGTAATTAAGATAAACTGGCCATACTCCAGGGGCCTGTTTAGTTTGCATGCCTGTGGTGTTAGTTTTATCTAATAAAAGTAAAATTATCATTAGCAACATGGTAAATCTCTTTCTTAAATGATCCACTTCACGACATTTTTCAACATTCGTCTTGGGTAATTTAATCAGAAAAACAAAATAAGACTTCGAGAAACAAGAGGCCCATGGCCTTGACGGTACCTGAGTATCATCAGATATTTCAAGGCAAAAACCACTTTAGCCCAATTTCGAAATGGAACTCTGAACTCATGTGATAAAAAAAAAATACAGTTTGAGATCATGCAGTCAGTTTATGTTATAGATATCCACGAGTAAAGACACAATTTTCAAACGTTTAACACATTTACAATGTATGACCAATTTAGCCCGAATTAGCGACCAGATCGCTAGATGGTTTGCTAGAGGGTTAAAAATAAATGGTAATAATGTAATCAAATTGTGGTTTTCTTTTTGTGCTCTTTAAGAAATGGAAAAAATATTTTTCAAAATATATGACCAACTTGTTCCCAGCCCTGAGGCCATCATGAATTTCACAATTTTGGTAGAAAGCTCAGTCTTGATTATAAACAAAAAAACAGTCAGCCAGCTAAATGCCAACTAGAAGAAAAGAATATTTTCTTATGATATATTGCATTTCAATATATATAGTCAACGAAGCTGCACACTAACCCCTAAATTATGAATCAAGTGGCAAAAATTCTGGTAAAAAGTTGAGTACTCAGTATAATCATGCACACAGTTTGCCTGTCCATGAGTAAAAACAAGTTTTTCAGATACAATGAATTTTCAATATATGACCAATTTAGCCCCACCCTGGAGCCTGAACTCTGAGTCCCCCGGTCATGAATTGCATAATTTTCATAAATAACTTACTGCCTTTTTATTTTCATGAGAACAGTTTGTTCGATGTACAGCAAGGCCGTAACTACCATTGAGGCAAGTGAGGCAAATGCGTCACTAAAATTTTAGAGTTTTCTGAAAAGTGAAAAAGCTTTACTTTGAACTTCAATTAATCATTTGTGTCTTTGTACTAAATTAATACTTTCAACTTTTGTTTCAATTTCTGTAAATCGATCATCTCACAAGTACGTGCTTCATTATCGTTTAGAACGCATGTAAAAAATAATTCAAAACATGAAAATATTCAAAGATTTAAGTCTTTAATTTACTTAAACCAGGTTTCTGGAACCCACCCTACCCTCTCTGCTCCCCCGAGAACCTACATGACCTACCCTGGACCCGCTTGGGACTCAAATGACTCTCAGATCCCTTGCCTAACTAACAATTTGAGACTAGTTACGGCCTTGTACAGGAGTAGACAAATTTTGAAGATTGCACAAATATTGGTGGTTTTTGCAACATCTAGCACCAGATCGTCAGCTATACCAAAATTTATTAAAATTGATCCAGCTGTTCCAGAGAAAATATTGAAAATATTCAGAAGTTCATGATCGACGGACGGCACACAACACACGACAAGGGACAAAAATCAGATATCAGTATGTCACTAAAGTTACCAGTGATTTACAACGATTTGAAATTAATCTAAAATTATTAAGTACGTATTGACATCAATAAGCAAATCATAACGCTTGGTAAGATCATTGGAATGATGTGATATTGAATACTTAAGAGGACAGATGCTGATATTGCAGAGTTTTAATTAAATACAGATACTAAAAAAAATTCTCCTTAATTTGCGTTATTTAAGTGAAATCATTAATATAATTCAATGGAAAATGTTTTAGCTATATAAAAACTTATAAGTTCGATAACTCCTTTATTATCATAGATATAATCATCTTACAGATAAAAGAAATTCTCGTCAAAACAGACTTTGTGGATGGAACTAAGCAACATATTTTCAGTAATCAATTATGTTAGTTTAATGTATAAACAACAGGAATCAACACATATGGTAGATACGTTAAGTTCTTCTTTTGCAGTGTCGTATATCCTGTGGTTATCAGTGTTTGTATTTATGAAAC